GGTAGACACATCCAAAATGTCCCAGGAGCCTATGCATGCGTCCCTGGCGCCGGGAGTCTAGGTGTCATGTTGTCGTACATAAATCCAGGCGGTCATCCCGATAGCTCCGTTAACTCGGGGACCAAATGACTCTCCCAGCCAACTCCCAGCTCTGCCGGCTTGGGACAGTCGAATAGGTCACGTGGCCGACACGTCGATAATGGACAAACCAAACAGAGGGAAATATTGCAGAGTCACTCTAAATTTCAGCGATCAATCACGAATACTCGCGCAGTAAATCTGATAGAACTCCAAATATTAATATCCAAGATGTTGACTACTTCGTGTGGTATCCCGAGGACGTAACTGCGAAAACTTCGAGCGAACAACTGTCCTTTGGCGCCTCCATCTGCGGGACTTGCTCTCGGTTCAGGTATGAAATTAGTTAATTACTATGTCGCTTTCCTGCACTTGGCCTTGATAGCGCAGGCTGCGCAGCCCTCCTGTCATGTTGCCGACTCCACTGCAGTGGAGTGCACACCTGCGAGGCAGACGACCCGCATATCCCCCGCAAACGCCCAGAGTGCCGGAACAAAGCTCTTGGCCATCGATTGGAAGTGGATCCAGAAGTGTTATGCGGCTTTGACATGATGATATGGGCCTTCCGACGAACCTTAAATAATTAATATTGTTGGAAGAGGAGAATATACGTAGCTCAGGCCGTAGAAAGTGTAACTGGCTGGCTCGTTTCTATGCCTTCGGCTCTCCCTCGATACTCCACATTCACAATGCTGTACAATTTCCAACGCAATTTAGGGGCCGCACTTGAGACAGCGGCGATCACGGTAGCGGTTCTGATGCGCCATGCCCATGATGCGCCCCATTATCTAACGTTTAACTCGTTTGCCTCTGCACAGGAATTCGGCACTCCAGGTCGTCCGAAGCCCTCAGGTGCCTCAAACAAGTGCGACCCCACACCGGTGCGCCGACTCTGGCAACAAATTGTGGGGACGAACCGCCGCCAAGGCTTAGGCGCGGTTCTTCCGCCAAGACCTAGACCCCCGATCGGTGCTTCCGCGGGGCTGGGCTGCGCTATATAAAGGGAGCCTCCCGTTCCCGTTATTACACCATGTCGTCCTTCACGCCTACCCACCCCACGAAAACGCCGCTCGCGTGCCGGCTCCCATCTTTCAGGCTCTCGCGCGGGAAAGCGCAGAAGGTGCTAACGAACCGCGACGTGAAGATTTTATCGGCACTCCTATCCCGCTCGTGTGCCACCTCGACCTCATCCCTCGCCTCTACCGCCTCGTCTAGCACATGTGTGCCAACAACGCCGCCGACCGAGAAGTGGAGCAATGCCCGCGCCTACCCCTCGGCATGTGCTGAGATGATAGTTGTGAGTTTTCAACAGCTTTCCGTCGTGGTGTCCCAATACTTACCTATACGCATCTCGCAGAGCGGCGTTTCCGCGCTCCTGATCATGCCTATGCCTATCCTCGACAACGCGAAGCGCAGCACTCCTACCGGTACGTCGCTCTGCGTCCCGCCGCTCACCTTTAATTCCTTAAATTCGCAAATTTAGCCGCAGCGGCAGAGACCGAAACCGACGCACCGCCCAGCGTCCAAAAACGCATGTCCAAATTCCAACTACCGCGTCGCCCACCAACCCCGCCGCGCCGACGGCGCAACTCGCTCGTGCTGCCGGAGGTTCTGATGCCCGCCGCGCCCCCGCCTCCGCTCGTACGGCCAATGATGTGCGCCACGCGCTCGCGCCCGCCACCGATGGAGGACCGCGCAATCCGCTTCGTCGTCCCACCGCCCAAGTCCGCGCCGCCCACGCCAGCGCCGGACAACCGCTGGGGCGACGAGGTAGCGTGGAGCGACTTTATGGTGCGTCAGCCTGCCTCCTACACTGCGATGAATCTAATTTGTCCTGTGTAGTGATTCACCATGGACAGAGGACCGATGAGCGGCACGCATTTATCTTTCTGAGTAAGACAAGGTACGGTACGTTTCTGGTTTTAACTCTAGCCTGATCTTAGTGTTGACGTTGCGACTTCGATTTCAGCGTGAACAATTTGCGCGCGCCCATGATCACGGACGATCACGAACGTTATGTGAATTGAACGAAAATTCCGACGAGCACACGACGAGATGAACGACGATTTTTTATGTACGCGATTAACGGGGGCCTGTGTTGGCCATGTGGACATCAATGGACTTGTAAATATATGAATGTAAATGAGTACTGGGACTTGCGAAGTAAAGCGTACCCGCACCCTCTCAACTTCAGAGAGATTGCGGAGCGAGGTAAGTGTGATGAATGGGAGGATCATCGATAGTTCTGCGCTGGGAATAGCGTCATCATACAGCAAGGGTCCAAGAGTAAGGGACAGCGCAGCATCCTTCTCGAAGGCTATCAAGGTCAATGGTCCCGCTGCCGTCGGTACACAGCGCACGCTGACTGAGCCAACGGCTTCAGGGCACCGGATCCCCTTCTCAGACCGCACGGGGAGCAAATATGGGGTTCAGCATGTTTCGGGTGTAGGGCATACCATACCCTGTCGACCCACATGATGTGTGAGAGACAGAGCGTCCAGGGGAAGAAGTACCGGAATCTCCAGCGCTCGAGATCGCTGGGGCGTACACGGTAAATGTGACCGGCGATGATAACGACCACCGGTGCCACAGCTTTCGCCACCATGGTTCGTATAACATCACAGAACTCGGTCGCCAGCGTGTGCGGCAAATACGGAAATATCGTGTCGGTGGTGCGCGTCGGTGGTGCGCGCATGTAGTAGATCGTCGGCGAACGACAGATGGAGTTCCTTGATTGAATGTGATCTTCGAATGAAGTCCCGGAGGAGTTTCATGTCTCGGAGGACACAAAAGGCCCAGAAGCGGCAGACGAGGTTGTGAATTTGGGGTGTCAGGCGCGAATGAATGCGTAGAGCGCCGGTAGCGAGTGTGTCCGCATGAATATCGTGCCGCTTGAGATATAATACTATGCAGCGGTCATTGAACGCGCTGCACACACAAGCTGCCGTCTTTAGGCCTTCGTCCGAAAGTTGTTCAAATACCAGTTCCCAAACCTCGAGCGGGAGAGAGACTGAGACGGTAGTCCGGCTTCGCCTACGAAGCCTATTCCAGAGATTTCGGAGATTCGGTGGTTTGAGCATGCTGGCTGCATGGGACACTGCAAGGACGGCGCTGGCAAGGATGGTGCTGGCCACAAGGTAATGGCTGCGGCAGCCCGTAAGCTGGTGATTGCCGGGAAGCCACAACACGAGTAAACATTCCCGCCGCCAGATTCGGAGTCCCTCCTTCTCCTCGCAACATGTCCAAATGGCCAGGTTCTCCCTCTGCGTCTGGCGCGGTCATCAAGCGAGCCAAGGGAACGCCCCCGGGACTGACAGTGGCAAAGGGCTCCTGTAATCCGGACAGTTTCGTGCGCCCTCCCTTCCGGATCTCACCGTCGGCATGCGCCTCTTCTTCGATCTGCTTACGAGGGCGACGACGCGAATGTGAGCTCAGATAGCGTTCATTCGGATGTCAGATGCTGCTAGGCCATAAAGGGACAGTGACGGGCGTGGACTGGCACCCGCACAAGCCGACATGTGCGTCCCTCCTTTGCCTCCTTCTTCTTTGCGTACCGCTCTTCTATCCTTCCTTCCTTTACTTCCTCACTGTGCCCTCACCCTGCGCGCGCTCCCCCCCTCCCACTCTGGCTCGCATGTCCCTCTTCCTTTCTCTGTTTCTTTTCTTCGCACTCGGGTTCGCACTGTCAATTCTGCGTGTACTGCGTACTGCGTTTTGGACTGTTTCGTGCACCCCCGCCCTCCGCCGCGCGAGTACGGCGTCTCATGCTCATTCTCATGGCGGCGCTGCGCTTGTCCCTAGTAGGGCGGAGGCACTCCCGTGACGGGACGCAGACGCGTTCACCCGAACGGGACGCGCACGAGCCCGCCTGGATATCGCATGCATGGGCCGCTTGACCTCGTATTCGTCCGAGCGCTGCCTTGCGCTGCCTCGTCGCTCATCCAGCTCTGTTGACCGGAGTGGGGAGTCGGGGTGGAGAGGAGCGGAGCGGGAAGTGTGGGAGTGGAGTGGAGCGCCCCACCTTTCCTTTCCTTCGTCGTCGGCCCGACTCTTGCGCGGCTTCGCTCGCGACGTGCGCTGCCTTCTCTTCTCTCGCGCCGCGCGCGCGATGTGCGCTGCCTCCCCCCTCGTCCCTCCATCCTTTCATCCCTCCCTCCTCTCTCTCCCACTCCCCGCTTCTTAGACGAGCCCCTAGGCTGGTCTACTGAATGCAAACATGCAAACACTGCCTGATGAACCTTTGCGTTCTGATTTTCTTCCTCGCGCTGTAGTACTAGTGCTAGTGCCAGAGGAAAATGAAACAGTTTTCTACCCCTCAGCTTGTCAATAACTCAAACTGAACGTTCATTGGCCTTTGTGCATGTTCGGATTCCTGAGCTTCCGATCTAACATTCAAGAGCGCAGCTCCCGCCTGGACTCGGACACATTCGAATTCGATTGACATAAAACAGCTGGCTTGGGCTCTTAGCTACGATGCTCCCCTTTGAGCCTAGCGTCTTGCGGTGTGATACCAAACTGTGAGAGAGACAAGTGAGGGAACTTGAAAAACGGGGGGGAAAAAAAACGCTGGACCAACTTTCTCATGACCCAGACCCGAATCGAACGGGTGTCTTCCGCAGAAACATGTTCGCCACAATCGAAGGCTGAGCGGATGCGAGACCACTTCGCCGCTGGGTCTGTATCCAAATATCCCAGCTCGAATAGGATCCATGGCGGGGCATCCGAAAGTCCAATATCACAGGACACGGTTTGTGCCAGTCTGTGAGCTCTGGCCCACGAAAAAAAGGCCATAAAAGCACCCCTGAGCGCTCGCCTCTGCGCCTTGTCGGATTTATGAATTGCTTCTACTTAACTTGGCTGATACCGAATTGAATTGTGAGAGAAAAATGAGGGAACTTATAAAAATATTCGGTACCGAGACATGACCCAGACCCGAATCGAACGGGCGTCCTCCGCAGAATATTGTTGTTTCGACACCAAACACAGTAAGCGGGCGCGATACCACTTCGCCACTGGGTCCACACTACTACTGAAGCTGAGTACTAGTTTGAGTAGCAACCATCCCCGGCGGGGACACAATGAGCAGCATCACGGTACATGGCACGGTAAAATTTGCGGTAGATTGATATAAACCCAACAGAGCAGATTTCGCTTTCCCATGCACCTAGAGCGAATAACCCCAACCGAGCCTTCAAAAAAAGTGAGAGTAAAAAGGTATGACCCAGACCCGAATCGAACGGGTGTCTTCCGCAGAAACTCAAGTTCTGTATGCGGAAAGTCTGGCAGATGCGATACCACTTCGCCACTGGGTCCATAGCACCTGAAACCGAGCTCGAATATTGTTATGGACCTGGCAAGCTGTCCGCTGAAGCCTTCCTGGACCCGGAATTCGAAAGAGCGATCACATTTTTCTTATTTTTCTTCCCCATTTACTTTGATTCTGCCAGACACGAAGACCAGCCAGGAAGTGGAGGATTAATTGCACAAGTGCGGCTCGGCGTCACCGTGTAAGGGCAGGAATTCGAGATCCGAGTCCATGGCCAGTGAGTAGTGACTCTTTGTGGTTGCTCTGCGGCGTGGACGGAGATGTGAAACAGTTTGAGGAGAGCCGGTGGCAGGCTCCCAGTCTCAGAGCTACCAGCTGAGACACAGTAATCAAGCCACGTTGAGAAGGATGGCCTTGAGTGCCGAGAATTGGTCAAGGGAGAGGAACGCAAAGAGTTGCGTACTTTTCGCCCCACGACTTTGACTTCACGTGATCTAGCCGCTCGGCACATTTGAAACTCCGTCCCTTGACGCCAGAAGACTCGGGGTGGCACTCTATGACATAGTCCAGTCGCGGCTAAGCAGCAGGAGGGTATTTGAGTGGCACAGTAGATTCAAAATGAGGACGTTTAGATTCAATACAATAAGTGCTACAGAACAATTGCACAACTACATGTAGATAAATGCCTCGACGCGTCGTTCGACGCGCCGACGCGATCTCCGACGCGTCGAGGGATAAAACGGACGGTGAGTACAATATAGGACGTATATTGAAATAATCGCGGCGCGGGGAAGACCGATCGTGGCGCATGGAAGGGGAGCTGTCTCGCGACGCGGGGAGACCGATAGGCGGCGCGGCGACGCCGAGGCGGCAAAGGCGAGCGGAACGGAAGCGAGACCTCGACGTTCTAGCAACCCGACATGGCGCTGGCAGGGAATGGGGAGAAGAGCTTACCCAGAAGATAAATATCGCCGTAGCGTTGCCACCACCTGTCCGATGACAGCCCGAGAGTCTGACGTCGACTTCGCCGTGGCGGCGGCAAGGCGACGGGGCACGACGAGGATGCAGGGATAAGAGAGGGAGGGCGGCGATGGTGTGAGTGCGGGCCTGGGATGTGTGTCGGGGGGGTCGGGGTCGGGAGGTGGTGGTACGGAAGAGAGAGGCGTTACAACAATGGTCAGCGGAGCTTCAAAATGTTTCCAGGCCGCCGACATGCCGCTCACGTGCGTCTCAAGGGCGAAAAGTCAAAAACTGCTGCCACCGCATTTTTGACGGGACCGAACCCCCTTGGCGGGATCCGCGTCTCGCTACGTCCAAGGCTCCAAAACAGCAGACCAATGCAGTGTCGTGCCAGGCATGTGGTAACTAACACTCCAGCAGCTGCGATCCCGCGTTGAACCACGGATCTCCGCTTCGTACACTTTTCCCTTGACGATATCCCCTCACCAAGGATGACTTCCGTATATTACACGGCACGGCAATCGACTGAAACCCATCCGCGGCAGCATCAGTAGTGTGTCACAGCTGGACTTTTCATTCCCAAATAGCGTCTCTCCGGGGCGCTCTCGTGTTTCGAGTACCTCGAGTTCTATCTTGGTGGTTTGTGTGTTCTCTGTATTTTCCTGATGTCTTTCAATGATTTAGCGGCTTTCATCTCATTTTCCACCGGACACCATCTCCGAAGAGTTTCATGCCTGGCCACCACCCGATTGAATCGGAGATGTGGACACTTGGGCGGGCGCTTAGTGCCGGAACGGCGCTTAATTGTAACCAGGTGAGCGATCCAATTCGAATGTGGCGCAGAACCTGATGTTTTTTTGTCCGGTGGTGACTGATTGTATCAGCCAAGTGCTTTGCCCATCGTATGTTCACAGGATAAGTTGAGAACGGTGGCTCATCTAGTCCGATACCCCTGCTCGACTCGATGCGCGTCGATGCAGAGGCAAAATGCTCGCTGGGCCCGGGTCAGAGATTAAATGTGGTTGTAGTCAATTCCTTGGCGCCGACGAGAATCATCGATTGCTATCAGCGTATCACTCGAGAGTCTAGGACGGGTCCAAACTTAGCGGTTGAACTCCCACGCAGCTATGAGATAAAGGAAGCGCCAGATCCGCGCTTCCTTACCCTCGCGCACAAAATGGCCCCTCAGCCATCCATAGCTCAAATCCGCTTCGAGCACATCTTAACCTCTCTGAATGGTGCTGTGGCAACGTTGGAGCTTCTCTCTGACGCCCTAAAAGTGCCGTTTTTGGGATCCATCACAAACACAACACAGTCTCTCCTGACTGCTGTACAGGTTAATTTCTGCACCTTCGCGTGAATATCTCTCAAACCACTCAGACCGTAAAACGGAACAAGGACGATTGTACGCAGATGCTGGAGCAAATCCACGAGTTATTGTATGCAATCATCCGGCTGCACATGAATTCGAATACAGGTGGTTTTTTGTCACCGCAAATGTTGAACCATTTGGGGAAGTTTACGGCGTGAGCTCAGACTTAATTCTCGCTCGCCATTGCTCATTGATTGATAGAACCCTCCACAAGATACACACCTTTGTTGAGGCCCAGCGGGAGAAAAGCCCGCTGAAACAATTCTTCCGCCAAGGCGAAATGAGCACACTACTCAAGCAGTGCCAGACGGGACTGCAACAAGCACTCGAGGGATTCAAGGCGCGGTTTTTTATTCTTTTTCGTCCCTCATTAAATGGAGGGAAATAGGTTGAGTATGTCGCAGTTTTGAAGGACGCGCTGGAGATGCAACGCGATGCACAAAAAGCCCACGATGAAGTGCTGGAGTTGATTTCATCGCTGTCGGATAGCAATAATTCCGATGATGCATTTTCTGTGTGTAATCGTCTCAAATTTTCATAACGCCTTCGTTCACTTTCTCCGTAGATCAAGAACATATTTTCCACCGCACACAACAGGTATTTCGTTACATCTGCGGTTATATCCTGTTCCTGACACGCCCAAGCTCAAACTCACTTTCATTACTCCCTTCGAAGCCGAAGATATTCCACGGTCGCGACTCAGACCTCTCAGCAATCATCCAATCCTTTTTTGAAGAGATCCCCCGGATAGCAATCCTTGGGGCCGGCGGGATGGGAAAGACGAGTCTCTCAAAAGCTGTTCTGCATCACCCAGATATTGCAGCTCGCTACGACCGCGAGCGCGTCTTCATTGCCTGTGACACTGTCTCCACTAGCATTCAACTTGCCGGCCTTATTGGAGTGCATCTGGGATTGAAACCTGGAAATGATCTTACTCTGCGAGTCGTCCAATACTTTTCACGCAATCCACCATCTCTCTTGATTCTGGACAACCTCGAGACGATTTGGGAACCCACCGAGTCTCGGGGAGAGGTTGAGAAGTTTTTGGCCCTGCTCACAGATATTCAGCATCTAGCATTGATTGTGAGCCCAAACGTGTCCGTTTCCTGACAGAACTAAAGAATCCTGAAATAGATCACGATGCGAGGGGCCGAACGACCGGCCCATGTGCGCTGGACCCGACCCTTTCTACAGCCTTTGAAACCCTTGACGCAGTCTGCTGCTCGACAGACCTTTGTTGAGATAACAGATAATCTGGATGACGCGGAAGCCATTGACATGATCCTGTGTCTTTCTGATAATATGCCGCTGGCAATCAACCTCCTGGCGAATCTGGTTGACTGTGAAGGGATTTCTACTGTGCTGGCTCGCTGGGAAACAGAGAGCACATCCCTGATCTCTCAGGGCTGTGATGCAAATTCTAACTTGGAACTGTCGATCTCATTGTCTCTCTCATCACCTCGGATCCTGTCTTTGCCTCATGCACGTGATCTTTTAAGCCTCGTTTCAATCCTACCAGATGGACTTTCTGATGTTGAGTTGCTCCAAAGCAAGCTTCCTCTTGTGAATGTCCTGTCGTGCAAGTCCGCTTTGCTCAGCACAGCACTGGCCTACATTGATGACCAGAAAAGGCTCAAAGCATTGGCACCTATCCGGGAATATGTGCAGAGACAACACTACCCGGGGAATGACCTCATCCACCCTCTTCTGAAATATTTTCAAGGCCTCCTGGAGCAGTATAGAGAAACCCACGGAACTATCTCGAGTGCTGAGCTCGGCCCTCGAATAACATGCAACTTTGCAAACATCCAGCACATTCTCAGTAAAAGGCTGCTCCATGGCAGTCCTGAACTCATTGATGTCCTCTTCAGCATTTGTGATCTGGATCGCTATAGTCAACTGACTGCACATGGGCACATTGACTTGATGGATCACATCCACACGATTTTACCAGAGGTCGGTGACCATAGACTGCAGGTGCACTTTATCACAAGACTGCTTGCAAGGGCCATGCCGCAGCCATTACCCAATGCAGATGAACTAATCGAGCAAGCTCTTGCACATCTTGACGATCTCAATGACCCAGCTCTGCGATGTAAAGTTTTTCCCCTACATTCTGACCTTGATCTGATGAATTTTGCAGCGCGGTTCTATAACCTGGTGGCACAACATTATAGACTGAGCAATGACAAGCTTAAATCTTTGTATTTCTGTGAAACTGCTCTCTCTTTTGCAATCTCAACTGGGCACACTGTGGGCCAGTCACAAGCGTTGGAACAGCTTGCAGCAATCATGTATCAGGCTGGGGATTATCACGCGGCCCAAGTACATGCAAAGGAAGCACAAAGAGTGGCCTACATTGCTGGGAATTTATTTATCCTGGCTAGGGTCCTCCACATTGAAGCAGCTGCTTGCTCATTT